GTGTACAGATTTGGTTAAACGTGGCGATAGCTATTTAGACGTTTTGCGGGAGCAAAAATGGCTTCATTCTACCTATTCCCTAAATAAAATTGAGAGAAATCTGATTTGGAGTAGAACAATCATTTTCAGTTGGTGGCTAGAATTTCTTTAGCTTGTCAAGGCATCCTGGCACTAACGCGCTTTTTTGTCTGAAAAAACAGAGAAAAACAAAACAAAACAAAGAAAAACTACCTTTGTGTNTTAAACTTATCTAAGATGGCCACCCGTAGCTACCTGTCCGTAACGCACAGCGCTCGAGCTCAACGATCTTATACGCAAAAATAGGGGACTGTGAACAGTCAATATCCTAGCCTACTGAGATCACGGTTGCTTGAGCCGAGATCCCTTCCCATTATCCCACGCGCCCTTTTTATGGTCCAAGAAGCCTCTCTGCGGAGGAGAGATGAAAAAGATAAATAAAAAAAATTTCCTGACCTCTGCTTCAATACCGGGAGCACGCACTTACAATAGACTTGTGTAGCTCTAGATATGGTTTGACCCGGTGAATAAGGAGCATCCTGCGGCCTGTACAGTATCGAAATGCTCTACCGCACTGCGGAGTTAAAGATCCTAGGATATTCGATGTCCATTTTCGCTAGACGGTCAGTGAGACAGTAAAACCACCGCACTTCGCGGACAAGCCTCTGGCGGAACCCAGGGTAAAGAAAAGTGTTCAAAAGAAGTTTGAAGCTAAATTAAATGCTTCTTTTTGACTTTACTTAATTTTGTATTTATCCCAAGGAATCAACGCAAACGTGCTAAAACCTAGAATAACTTGGTTTCTGCCCCTTGCACTGTTAGAATGTCATTATCAACAAATATGTGGCCATCTGGACCGTAGTCTAAAGAAGATCTAAGATTTCCTCCTATAGTTTTTTTTTAGTCAAGTTCTAACAAATGCTGAAAATTACACTTGTGTTCTTGATTTTATCCTAAACCTCGTGGCCTTTGATTTTTGGCGGTTAGTTTTTGGTCATTTTCCCCATAGTGCTCTCGTTTACGGTCACAAAAAAAACTCCCCTGAAAAAAAGAAAAACTATCGCACAGATTTCAACACAATTCAAATGAACAAGAAAGAAAGGGGGTATTCGTTTCCCTGTATCTTGACTCCAATGAACGCGAGAATTTTCCATGCAGCAGTTAACAACCGTTCAAATTATTTAATTCCCAGTGAGAAAATCAGATGGGAGAAATCGCTGAAATTGGTTCCCGCAAAATACAAAAAAAAAATTTACATCCACGGAATAAACTTTTCTGGCAAAAGTTAGAGTAGGGCCAGCTCGTTTAAGTTAGTGACGTCATTTATCGTGACCATACCAACCGACCGTCAACAACTGTTTTTTCAAATGCGTCTTGGAAATAGAAAAGTTATTCAAAAAGAAAAGAGGCCTTAAGTGTTCATTAACAAGCCAATTATATAAAAAAAAATCGCTTCATTCTACCTATTCCCTAAATAAAATTGAGAGAAATCTGAATTTGAGTAGAACAATCATTTTCAGTTGGTGGCTAGAATTTCTTTAGCTTGTCAAGGCATCCTGGCACTAACGCGCTTTTTTGTCTGAAAAAACAGAGAAAAACAAAACAAAACAAAGAAAAACTACCTTTGTGTAGGTTTCACTTTAAGTACTGTAGGCATCCTTGTACAAAAACAATATTTCCATAATTTGTAGGCCGCAATATCGCCGAACCAAAAAGTAGCAAGAACCATTTTGTCACTTTGTAAGGAAGTTTGAAACTTCCATTGTTTACCTCAGAATCATTAACACGTAATTTATGGAATTGGCAATCGTCTTCCTTAAACGTCAGTCGAGTCTTTTGAAAATAAACAGTTTGTTTCCTACCAAGGTAGAATCGACAAGTTTCCAACACTCCTTTCGCTCTTGACTCTGCGTTGTTCACTTCTAGTACTGTGTATTTGGTGAAATTGTGCTACGCTTGTAAGCGTTTTTTGGGAAAATCTATCATCGTTTTCCGATATTTTTCAAGCACCGCTAGACTAATTTTCCTTTAAACCTTTTCACACAACTTCAAAATAACTTGATATCATGCGCGCGCGTATATGTGGCAAAAATTTTTTTGTTACTTTAATGGAGACGGTTCATTAATTATATACCTATTCAGCTGCCTTGACTGAGTTAATCAAATGTGCACAAAGGTGAAAAATGTAAATCCTTTACGGGCGCCTCATTGACTATGCATATCTATGTCGGGTGGTGCTTGAGATTGAAACTGAGCATGAGATTATATTTTGCTATCTTGAGGTGTTAGCAAAAGAGAACAAAAGAACTTTACTGTGCGCTGGTTTTACTGATCCGCCCAAACCATCCGGGTGGTATCGCAAATATATAGGGAACAGAACAATAGAGATGTCAGCCAATCAGAAAATACTGACGTCACTATAACTGATAAAACTGATTGGACAATACTTGGTCTTTATCTGTGATTGGTTTGTTCGTTGTTGTGATTTGGAATGGCGAAGGAAGTACCTCTGAATAAAACTTTTGCTGTCCTACTCGTTTAATATAGAAATTTTTTTTAAGAAACTGATGCAGACATTCTCAGATTAACTTTTAAATCTGATTCTTCGTTGTTTTGGCGAGGCAAGTAAACTGCGTTAAATCTGTTAAAAGAACTAATCGGATGAACCGATAAACTGTGAACATTAAATCATAATACAAGAAAGAAAAATCAACGACAGTCTTAGTGGACCGTTCATTTATAGTTTACTGTACCGTTGGAGCTTTCACAGAACGACTAAAACTGTACAGATATTGATAGTTGTTTTGTTTTCTTTAGGTGTACACAAAGACTGTTTCTTTTAACTACTGATTTTAAGCTAGAGAAGAGAAAACGACGAAGTGTAAACGACGCAACGCGAAACACATTACCCCAGTATCTGAACACAACATTGTCATTTCTATGTTAAAAAAAAAAAAACAATTTGGCTCTGATATTATTACAAGGAAGAAGATATTTACAATCAAGAGGGCTGTAAAAAGGTTGTCCATTTTGGACCTGGTTTAATATTATTTGATATTTTATTGATCAAATTGCCCCTCAGTGACAAATATTATTAAACTTACATTACTGATTATGAATTACTTCCTAAAAAATAAACATATTTAAGCCTTGTTTTAATGGCTCATTTATAAACAACAATGCGACAATCTCTTCCACTACATGACATTTAATATTACAAGATGTGCACTGAAAGTCACAATATAATAATATTGTGGCAAAAACTATTATGTCATTCTAGAAGACACACGCAAAGTTGTCATTAGTCTAAGTGAAGCTTTGCTTCAAACTTTATCAACACTAATTAATGAACATTTTAATCAAGTATATTTAATTAAGCAATAGATCACACTTTCTATGGGTTTACTGGCATGACAACCCACAAGCGATGTTGAGAGAACACAAGTATTCTCCCAACATCCCAACTGTGTTATGATGCTGGTAAACCCATAGAAAGTGTGGTCTATTGCTTTTATAAAATAACTTTACGTCAAACTACGAGTTTGCCGGGCACAATAAACCATAGTTTTTTTAACCAATCAGAACATGCTTACTATCTTAGTTATTTTATAATTGCTAATACTCATGTTTGGGGGGGGGGGGGGGGGAAGGGGGGTGTTATCCCCCCTCACAGGATTCGGAAAAATGTTCTGGGGTACAACAATAAAAACACACCCGAAAAAAAAAAATTATTAGGGAAAATTTGAGGTTTTTAAACCCTTTTAGTAGCTAAGATTTTTGTTTTATATCTTCACTCAGACAAACCCTCCCGTCTTGCACAAAAGGGGG